TGCCAAATATTATCGTGTAAGTTTGGAGCTTTTACTTTTCTACCCTTAAAGCTGCTAGTAATTTCTTCTAACTTAGAATCTCTTATTTATTGTTGAATTTAGGTTCATGTTCAGGAAGTCGAAGTGAAATCAACTGATACATTTAAAGGTGAAATATATATATATATATATATATATATATATATATATATATATATATAAGTTTATGTTTAGTTTTCTTATATTACACTTATGACACTATTTATGACACCATATGTAGGCAAAGCATCTAGAATCTTCAGCTGGTGGTGTTTTAATCCTGGTGTTGCTATGGAAGAATTTGCAAAAAGAGATGTTGGATCTATTATTTTGACATCTGGCACTTTATCACCTATGGATTCATTTGCTGAGGAACTGAAGCTGTATGAACTTATCATACTATATAATCCTTATATTTTTCTAATAGCTACTTACTTTTTTTATTTATTAAAATATAGGAATTTTCCTATACGTTTGGAGAATCCTCATGTTATACAAGACAATCAATTATGGGCTGGAATTGTTCCAGTGGGTCCCTCTGGTCATCCGTTTAATTCTTCTTATAGAACACGCGATTCTCCTGAATATAAACTGAATTTGGGTAATTCCATTGGTAAGCATATTATATATATGACAATTTTTATAAAAATGTCATGTCAAATCACTTGTTAATATTAATTTTTTTTTGTTGTTTTGTAGTGAATTTTGCTCGAATAGTACCAGATGGGCTTCTTGTCTTTTTTCCATCTTACTACCTTTTGAATCTATGCATTGATTTCTGGAAGAACACGGTAATAATACTAATAATCATAAATTATAATTTCGTGTAGTTTTTAATAAAACAAATTTCATGTTTTCAGGGTGTAACTTCAACAAATTCGAGTACTATTTGGGAAAGAATCTGTAAACATAAGCTACCAGTTGTGGAGCCTAGACAATCTTCACTCTTTCCCCAAGCAATTGATGTAATAAGAGTAAATTATTTATACACTTTCAGTTAACAAATTTAATTCAATTTTAAAATCAACTCAAAATTTTTGCAGGACTACATGGCTAAGTTAAGAGACAACTCAACTACTGGAGCAGTGTTTTTTGCTGTATGTCGTGGAAAGGTAATTTAGTATTTCATATAGTTTTTACTATTTTCTTCCTATGACATTTATTTAGGTTAATTTTATAATTTTTTTTTTTTTAATGTAAATAGGTAAGTGAAGGACTAGATTTTGCTGATCAAGCTGGAAGAGCTGTGATTGTGACTGGAATTCCATTTGCAATGAGGAATGATCCAAAAATCCGTTTAAAACGTGAGTTTTTAGATCAACAGGCACTCTCCCAAAAAGGATCCAAGGTATAATTAGTTTTGGTCAACAAAGTCAAACTCACTTAAATTTTAAATTATTTTATTTTATATTATCTTGAACGTGGATTGCCTTTTTAGGTTCTCACAGGAGAAGAGTGGTACAGTCAACAAGCGTCACGGGCGGTCAACCAAGCTGTGGGCCGTGTCATTCGGCATCGCCATGATCATGGGGCAATTATTTTTTGTGATGAAAGGTTTTTTTTTTTTTTTTTTAGTCGGTATAAAAATAAATAATTAAGTTATGTTAGTTTTGGTCAAATGAGTTTTGACTTTTTTAATGTGTTTATATATACATACAGGTTTTCAAAACAAAATCATCAGTCCCAGATTTCACTATGGATTCGGCCTCACCTCAAGGTTAACAGACACCATCCACCTTGTGAAATTACTCTTTTGCCCTCTTTCCTGACATGTCCTTCTCTTATGCAGTGTTACTCCAAATTTGGGGATGTGGTTTTTACGTTGACTCGATTCTTTCGTGATGCTGCAATTAGCTGTCCAGTGAAACAAAAGTCAACTCAGATTCAACAACCAGGTTGACCAGAAAATACCTCTTTGAAATTACATATTTGGTCCCTGAGTATATCTGGTTTTTTCAATTTTGGTCCTCACTGAGGTTTTTGGTCTCAATTCCAAACAAAATGACTATTTTTGGTCCTTTGTGTACAATTTATTTTTGCAATTTTGGTCCCAGAAACGTTATAAAAACCTCAAACAAGGACCAAAATTTCAAAAATCAGTTATACTCAAGGGACCAAAAATGTAATTTACTCAAATACAATCTTAATACACTGGTTTTTGCTTTTCAGGAGAAAAAAGTAGTCGGGACAAGATCATATCTCTGGACAAACTTGATCAGGACAAATTTCTAAAATCTTTAGTATGTTCTTTTCGATTTTTTTCAATTGCATGTTTTTTTTTTTCTTCCTTCTATTCATTAAATATTTATTATATCTCAACGGGTCTTACAGATTGCCACATCAGATAAATCTCGGTCTATAGAACCATCATCATCATCATCATTATCATCATTGCCATGTTCGAGTGAATTAAGGCGAGTCAACATTTCGTCTCGGCTTAGTCAAATACTTCCTGCAAACCGCTCAAATCTTTCTTTCAATGCTCAAAAACAGACTTCAAGTTTGAAAAATAATAATAATAGCAATGTGGAAGTCAAAAAACATGAAGTGATTGATTTGGTAGATGAAGAAACAAGCAGTCAATTATCCGCACCTTATTTTATAAAAAAACGTAAAATAGAAAACCCTAAAAACGAAAACTTGTTACAAAAGTGTGAGAGTGGAATCAGAGAAGTTAAAAAGGAGATAGCTGTAGAAAGGAGGACCGAATTCGTCAATTTAGAAACTGTAAGGGGTAGTTCAAGTTCAAATTCAAATTCAAATTCTTTGGCTTGTGAGAATGAGGAGAAGAAGGGATCCACTTTTCTTATTCAGGTAAAAACAAAAATGGGATTTATTATTATTAACTTTTTTTTTTTTCCCTTCAAATAAGTTTTTATAAATTTACAGGTTAGAGAGAAGCTTAGTGATGGAGAATATAAAGAATTTGTGGGATTTATGAAAGCACTTAAATCTAAGGCAATGAAGATAGGTCATGTTCTTCAATGTATCATGGGATTATTTTCTACACCAGATAGACTTCCTCTTCTCCAAAGGTATTAAAATTAATTGTTTTTATTTTTGATATTATTTATCTTTCTAATTTTTGTCCTGTTACTGATATTTGACAGATTTAAGGATTATATTCCTGCAAAATACCATACATTGTATGAAGAATATTTGGAGAAAACAAAAACAAATGATGCAGTAACTGTAGATCTTTTATAAACGGTAGTGTTCTTGTGTAAAATTATTTACCCTACCATTAATTATCATTAAAGTTATATGATGTGTCTTGAAAATAATCATTTAACAAGCAAGTTATTTCTAAGAAATAACGGAAATTGAGGTGTATTTGTCTGTTTGATGTAACTTTTGGCTGGGAAATGATAATATGTTAAAAGATGAAATTTGAAGTTGATAAGGACATACATAATGTTATTTAATTATTTGAATTTGTTTATTTCAGAGTTTTGTTTGTTTATGAAATGTGATTGGGTTGGTATTTGGTAATTTTTTTGGTCGACTTATAGCTTACAAGTTACAAACAACCAATTCTAAGAAACTCGCATGTATCTTCTTTTTGTCTTCTAGTTAAAATACATAAAATAATAATGTATTTTTATACAAAAAGTAAATCCGCAAGAAATTTATCAGTTTGACGATGTATAATTTTTTCTTGTGTTCATAATTAGTTCTTAAAATTTGACTTTTCAAGCGTAGTCTTCTAAATGATATTAACTAAATTTGAGTATTTTCTTTTTATTGTTAACAATGACAATGTTTTTTGTGTTTTCAAAAAATGGCCATTTTGTTTGCAATGGGTCGATTTCAAACCAACTATATATTTAAAAAAAAAAAATACATTTCAGACTTTTCTACATAAAATAAATAATTAGGAATTTCAAGAGCAACTTAAAAATCAGATGAACAATTCTTGGATTTTGAGAAAATACTTCGTTTTAAGGGGTGTTTGGCTTAGCTTTTCAAAGTCAAAAAGATGTTTGGCAAACTAGTTTTAAAAATAACTTTTGAAATTTTTACATAAGGAAAATGAATTTTTTGGAAAAATTAGGAAATACTGATTTTTTGTAACTTTTCCAAAAAGAACTTTTGGGGTTTGAAAAGCTTAGCCACACACCATCTAAATTTAAATGTTTCAAAATTAAAAAGAAAACGATGGAAAGTAATTTTCTAAAATGATTTAAAATGTGACATTTGATTGAAAAACAGTAATATTAAACTATTCGAAGTTCAGACATAAAAAGAAAAAAACTTTTTGAAAGTTTTGGTGAGATGAGAAAAAAATACACAGCAGTCTGAAATGATTCATTTGGGTCAAGAGCAAATAATTTAGGACAAAATGATTATTTTTCAAAACACAAAAAATTTGATTTTTTTTTGTTAATTACTTTATTCATAATAATTAGTTTAGTTAATATTCATTTTCAATTTGCTTTATCCACTAAGCACACTCTAATAGGACAACACATTTAAAAGGAATATAAAACAAGAATATTGACGAATGTCGACACAAGATATTAAGCTACTATTTGATAAAAAACCAAATAAACAAATACTCAAGTGATTAAAAAATTGTCAAGGAATAAGGATTAGAACATACCAGTGCATATAGTGAAAGAAACAAATCATATTTAACAAAAGTATCTTTGTAAAAATAATAAGGAAAAGATAGTAAAGATGGGCCATACCCTAACAAAACCTCTGCGCTAAGAAATCCATGATCAAATATCGGGATATATATTATATATTATATATTATATATTATACATTATATATTTATATATCCTTCGTTGGATCTTAATTTTATAATTTGACATAAGGACAAACAAGAAACAGGTGGTTTGAATCTTGGGTTGGCGCGTCATCAAAACTCCTGCACCCTTTATAAACCAAGTGTTCTTCATTAATTTATAACAACCAAATTCCTTTCTCCTTCCTTCACTCAATATTCTCTACCCCCACCACTACCATCACCACATATGTGCTATCCGGCCGGTGTTTCATCTATCAGTGGCCATGAATCGGAGATCAGAATTAGACGGTTGGCAGCTCTCGCCACCGCCGTCAACCACCGGGAGGCAGGTGGTGGTGGTGGAGTGAAGAAACAGTGTCTGTGTTCACCCACGATTCACCCTGGTTCCTTCAGGTGCAGGCATCACCATTCAGAGTATGTATGGGTTCGTTCTTAATCTCCGGTAAGATGGTGGTGGTGATGAAGAATTTCAATGCACATAAATAGTTATAACCTAAAGATGTATCATATAGCCTGGTACTGAACTGTTTCATCGTTCTTTTTCATGTAATGACTCTGTTCATCTATGTATCCATTAATTAATTATACTCCAGTTATTCTACATTTCTCACTTTTCACATAATTAAATACTTCTAGGGTTTCGGAATGGTTACTTTTTTCAATCGTTCAAGTTCTGTTTGTGTTCATATTGTTCAAAATTGAGATATCTGGTTATTGCTACGACTTTGCAATTTGGTTCCCAAATTGAGTGTATTTCGTGCCCTAAAAGAACATACTTTAGTGAATAGCGATCAAGCAAGAAATTTCTGCCACATAATACGAATTCGTAGTTTATGAGGTTTTTTCAAGCATCAGATTGTTACGTACATAAATACATACCTCGACAACAGGTTTAAGCTTTAAAGAAGAAGACGAAAAGAAACCTTGCGCGAATCTTGGATATCACACTAGTTGGAATCGAACATTTCACCAAATTTTCAATCTTAAAGAACATATCCGATTGAAATTGATGTGACGAACCCTAGAATATTCTAGATGCTATCCTCTGTACTATTTGAATCGCCGGTGACACTTGGAGACTGATGGTCGATGTGAGTTATAATACTTTTGGATGGATAATAAACGCTTGTTTAGAATCATGCAATGAAAGGGGACCTTCATCAAGTTCATCATAGTATTAGCTAACTGCAATTGGACGTTAGACAACATCAATCCCAAGTCCCAACTTCTATTGTCGATTGTCTCGATTTCAGTTTGTGAGACCACACTCAAAAAGTGCTGCAAACTCAACTTACGTCACCTTTACTAAGCTCACTACCATACCATTAGCCATAGACGGTCACTCCACACCCAAACCACCGGACACCGGGGCGGTGTTCACACATGACTTGACAATCCACCTCAACTCTCATGTGTCCTTTTCCTTCTCACTCGGTTAGCCTTACAGGTTAGCCACAAATTTGTAAAACACGAAGATGATACGAATAATAAAACATTTTATGATGTCAAAGACGAATAAGACATACTTGACATGACAATATGAACGTTTTTAAAGTCGGTGCATAGTGACGGATCCAAAAATAAAAATCTAGGGTTGCACTACTAGAAAAAAACTCGTTCCCATAGAAAGTTTGTGTCACAAAATCGTCACTAAAGCGACGAATTTACACTAAATTCACAACTATCGGACTTTGTGATGGATTGCCAGTGGATTAGTGATAGATTTGTGATGGATTTTCGAAAAAAAATCACTAAATATACATTTCATGCAAAAATTTCAGGGTTAACCTGGCTGCATAGTAGCTCCACTCCTGCCGGTGGGGTGGCTGCGGTAGTGACTACGGTTTGCCACATCACCTGTGATCTACACCATGCTGGGCGCATGGTTCAAGCCCAGCTCGACAAGTTTTAGCGAGGGTTTATTTCTATCTTGTTTCTACTTTCTCTTCTTTAAGGCCTTGTTACCGTTTTTTATCTATAAATAGAATCTTCTGTTGGATTAGGTGTCTAAGCCAATAACTAAATTGATATATACTTAAACTATTAACAAAGTTCTTTGGGTTGCCCTCAAACCTAGTAATTAAATATGATAACTTTTATAGAGAGAGACTGATGTATTGATTTATTATCTGATTAATAAATAGCGATAAATGATTTACAAATATGTTATGAGAATAATATATTAATTATAAATAGTATTATTTAATTAAGAATTAATAAGAAATTAATTAGAATTAATTTTGTGATTAATTGGATTAATTAAAAGTGCGAGGACCTAAACTGTAATTGTTCAATAGTTGAACAAAATGGTTTCAGATGCTTCCCAAAGGTGGTGGATAGTTTTATAGGATATATTTAGGGTTTATAGAATATCACTTGAAGATAATTAGGAAATTGGATAATTACATAATTTGAAATTATAGTATTATATTGAAATTAGGATGTGATGTATACAATCAGCCGGAGCCAGTAAATATACCCTAAGTTACCACACTGTTATTTGATATGATGTTTATGGTAGAACATCATGCTAGTGATAGGCTAGGGATCTTCATGAATTGCATGATAGAATTGCCTGATGTATGATGTCTGATAGCCTAGGGTTATTTCTTGCATGAAATTGACATCATTACTGTAGTTGCTTAGTGTATGAATCACAATTATACATAACTAAGATTTTATAGCATTAGAATGTTTGATTTGGCCTTATTTCCTATTCCTTGTTTGGTTGTAGGCTTAGGGTAGAATTAAGTATCCGACTGTTTATAGGATCCAATGTTATGTATGATTAGCATACGCGAGTGCTACAGGGTTGGTGGAAGTTTCATAGGTAAAGATTGTGTGAGCAGCCAGTTAGAGGAGAATATTTAGCCAATCTTAGGAGGGCAAGGACAGGATGAATGCGTATCCTAGTTTGGGCGGTTGTAACAATCGTTGGGATAAATACGGGTAAGTGTAGAAAGTAGTATGGACCCGTACCACCGAAAGCACAAGACTTATACGCGTCTCAAGGAAGTCACAACCCCTGAGGGTTCATCTGTCGGTAATAGTGTGATTTTTTGAATTATGGAATTCTGATATGCTCTGGTTTATTTTCAGTATGGTGTTCACACGGGGACCAGGTTCAGGATCTGGTGCGAGCGGCCCGGATGGTCTAAGGATGGCAGATGACCAAATTTAGGAGGTCATCACCACTGAGGTGCTTGCTGATGTCCAGAGATCTATGACGAAGACGTTTGGATCTATCAAGACCGATGCGATCGAGCTTTTTGATGAGTGATACGCTGCTCTTACTGAGGTTGCCGCTGCTGCAGCTATCGCAGTTGTCACTGCTGCGGGGAGAGCCTTCTAGTATCGGGAGATCGACAATATGAAGCCCCCAAAGTTTGATGAAGTTTAGGATCCAATAGTTGCAATGAGATGGTTATCTCATGTGGATGGTTTTTTCTTCACATGCTCTTGTCCCGCTGACTAAAAGGTCAAGTGCACCCTGAACCTTCTTCGGTCAGGTACGAAGGGTTACTGGAGGCTGGTTACTGGCCCATACACTCCTGAGCAGAGGGTTGCTGTTACCCGAGAGCAGTTTGCTGAGATGTTTCGCATGAGATATGTCCCTTTGGTGGGGAGGGAGAGGTTAGCTTAGATTTGAGGCAGGGAACGAAGACAATGATTGAGATCACCAAGATGTTTAACGAGAGGGCTCTTTTCTGTCTGGAGTTTGTTACTTCTGAGCAAGCTCAGATGACCCGGTACTTGAGCATGCTCAAGGCGGATATCCTTCAGTTTGTGTCCACTGAGCGCTATGGTTCACTTATTGAGTTACAGGAGTCCGTGAGGAGGCAGGAGATTAAGATGGAGCTCCAGTCGAGGGAGCTGAGGCATGCCCCTGTTCAGTCGTAACCTATGGCAAAGTTGTTCAAGCCCGCTGATTCGAGGTCTGGAGGACAGAGGGGTCGTACTTGTGGGAAGTGCGGCAAGGTGCATGAGTGTTCTTGCCAATCATCTGCTGGATGCCACAAATGCGGAAAGGAGGGAAACTTCGTGAGGGATTGTCGCTAGCCGACCCCAGTACTTAGTGCCATGATTTTTACCATTGTCAGGTTGGCCATGTGAAGGTCAACTGTTCGTTGCTCGCTGCCAAGTCGGCGTAGGTTCCAACACCAACTAGTATGAGGATCACAGATGGGCGCCAGGGTAGAGTGGAGCCCCCGAGGGCTTGAGGTTGTGCTTTCCAGCTCACTACCGAGGAGGCCATGGTGGCGTCATACGTCCTTACTGGTATGTTTCTATTTATATTTTGTCAAGTTATTTTATGATATGCTTATATTTATGATTCTGTTAGGCACCTTCTTAATGAAATCTTTGCATGCTCTTATGCTTTTTGACTCATGTGTGAGTCGATCTTTTGCATCCCAAACTTTCAATAGGGGATTTGATATGCCTATTGCGGAGTTCTGCATCCAGAGTTTATCAGGGTTAAGTTTTGGAGATTTTTGGGGTATCTTATCCGATTGATTTGATTTCGATCCCCATGGGGGATGTGTGTGATAGTGGGGATAAATTGGCCGAGCAGGTTTGGTGTTATGATAGACTACGAGGGTCAGCGGGTGGTGGTTCAAACCCCAAGTGGGGGAGAACTGGTTATCTACGGAAAAGGCACCGGAATAGGGTCAAGTTTTTGTTCTGTTGTCAGGGCTCGACAATATATTCAACATGGTTATATGGGTTATCTTGCGTACATGATTGCCAATCAGGTTGGGGAGCAGGCTTCAATTTTAGATGTGCAGGTTGTTAGAGAATATGCTGATGTGTTTCCGGAGGAGTTACCCGGAGTGCCTCCCGAAAGGCAGGTTGAGTTCAGGATTGGTTTAGTTCCAGGTGCGGCTTCAATTGCCAAAGCACCATATCGATTGGAACCGCCTGAGATGCATGAGTTATCCTCTCAACTTCAGGAGCTGTTAGGCAAGTAGTTTATTAGACCAGACAATTCGCCGTGGGGAGCACATATATTGTTTGTCAAGAAGAAGGATGGTTCGCATCGGATATGCATTGATTAACGGGAGTTGAACAAATTAACGGTGAATAAATTTTATCCTCTTTTGTGGATTGATGACTTCTTTTATCAGTTACAGGGTGCATCCATGTTCTCCAAGATCGATTTGCGGCCAGGGTATCATCAGGTGAGGGTTAGAGAGGAGGACGTGGAGAAAATTGTGTTTCAAACTCGTTATGGTTATTACGAGTTCATGGTGATGACATTTGGGCTCACTAATGCGTCTGCGGTGTTTTATGGATTTGATGAATCGAGTGTGCATGCCGATGCTCAACCGATCAGTTATTGTGTTCATTGATGATATCTTGGTGTATTCCAAGACTAGGGAGCAACACGCGGAGCACTTTCGAGAGCTTCTTGGAGTTTTGAGGCGAGAGCAGCTATACGCCAAGTCCTCGAAGTGTGAGTTTTGGTTCCGAGAGGTCCAATTCTTGGGGACCTCGTTAACCAGGATGAGATTTTGGTCGACCCGACTAAGATCGAGGCAGTTATGCAGTGGGAGGTCCTGAAGTCTCCTTATGAGATCGGAGTTTCTTGGGTTTAGTAGGGTATTTTTGGAGATTTATTCAGGATTTCTCCAAGATTGTTGTACTCCTCACTCGTTTGACGAGGAAGGGCGTGGATTTCTGTTGGGGGCCTGAGCAGCAGACGACGTGTGAGAAACTACGACAGAGCTTTTGTGAGGCCTGAGTGTTGACCCTTCCGGAGGGTGTCAGGGATTTCATTGTATTTTGTGATGCATCCATCATAGGTTTGGGGGTGGTTCTTATACATAGGGGTGAGTAATTGTGTATGCTTCCCAACAGTTGAATCCACATGAGGCACAATATCCTACTCATGATCTGGAGTTAAGGGCAATACTGTTAGCTCTTAAGATTTAGTGGCACTATTTGTATGGGGTCCGGTGTACTATCTACATGGATCACACGAGTTTACGATATCTTATGGACTAACTGGACCTGAACATGAGGCATCGTAAGTGGTTTGACGTGGTCAAGGATTATGAATGCGAGATCCTTTACCATCCGGGTAAAGCGAATGTGGTCATGGACGCTTTGATCTGCAAATCGGCTAGATCTTCGGCTGGGGATATGTGTATGATGATATCTATTGATTCTCCACTTTTGGATTCGATTATAGGAGGACAGGCAGAAGGAGTTAAGAAGAAGAACTAGAAACATGAGCGAATAAGGGCGAGATCGACAAATTTGTCACCGATTGTTGGGGATTCTTGACCTGGTGTGGTCGGGTTTGGATTCCGGTTTTTGGTGGGGTCAGACAGACAGTTTTGGAGGAGGCACATAAGTCTTGCTTTTCAATACACCTGGGAACTACCAAAATGTATCGAGATTTGAGACTAAGTTAATGGTGGCCGTGTATGAAGAGAGAGATAGCTTGGTATGTTGAGAGGTTCTTGACCTGTAAGATGGTCAAGGCTGAGCACCAGAGGCTGCATGACAAGCTGCAACCTTTGTAAGTTCCCATGTGGAAGTGGGAACAGATCACCATGGATTTTATCACCAAGCTACCGAGGATTGCCAAGGGTTTTGATGCTATCTGGGTCATCGTGGATCGAATTGACCAAGAGTGCTCGCTTTTTGGCTATCCGGGAAAGCTCCTCGGTCGAGAAATTAGCCGATGTGTATGTTCGTGAGATTGTTGCTCGTCATGGAGTTCCGTTTTCCATTATATCAGATCGAGATGTTTGGTTCACTTCTTGATTATGGTAGAAGTTCCACAAGGAACTGGGTATGAGGCTGCATTTCAGCATTGCTTATCAACCGCAGACTGACAACCAAAGTGAGCGAACCATCCAGACACTTGAGGATATGCTGCGGGCTTGTGTCATAGATTTTGGT